CAGAGGTTAAAGTTTTCAGAACAAGTAACAGGACAGAGAGTATGGAAAGGCTCAGGAATCTAACTTCAGGCAGAGCAGAGAAAGGGACAGTCAATGTAGAACTGAGAGTGTTGGATTTAACTGCAATTTACAAAACAAGGCAAATGATCTTGTAGCACAGATTGAAATTGACAGATATGATGTTATGGGTATCACAGAGACCATGGCTAGAAGAGAAGCAGGGCTAGGAACTAAATATTCAAGGAGACAAATCTTATTGTAAGGATAGGCAGATGGGCAGGATTGCTTGTTGGGAAGAAATGAAATTAAATCAACACCAATAAATGATGTAGAGTCTGACGATGTAGAATTTGTGTGCATAGAGTTGAGGACCACAAAGAAAAAAGACCCTGATGGGAATTGTGTGCTGACATCCTAGCAGTAGTCAGGACGTCGGGAAAAAAAAATCAGGAAACAGAAAATTCATGTAAGAAATGCACAATTACAACAATCATTCAGGGGCTTCAGTCTGCAGGTAGACTGGGACAAACAGGTTGATAGCAAGTCACAAGAAAAGGTATTTGTGGAACGAATATGATAATTTTTTTTGCAGTATATACGGGATCTGATGTATACCTCAAACATAACCACCAGAAAACGAGATCATCTGCAACATGATCTTGCTGTTTTGACAGCTTGTTGTGCACACAGTTACTGCCACGTTTCCTACATGACATAAATGTCCACACTTCAAAAAGTACTTCAAATGGCTGTAATAAAATTTTTGGAATGTCTGATGGTCCTGAAAACTTCTACATAGATGCAAGTCTTCGATTGCTTTTCTGAGGAGGTTACAAAAATAATGCCCTGAGAAGTGTAGGAGGGATTTGAAAAGACATGAAACATCCAGATCCCAACACACAGAATGACTATTCCCTGTCCACAAGATAACAACAGTGCTCTCAGCTTGATCTTCTCCCACAGCATAAGGACATTTCCATCCCTGATTGCCCACAGGATAGTCAGACTGCCTGAAGATTGGTGTGGATATTATGGGATACAATTTGAATAAAAGCTGCTCCTTCATTCACCATCTCCTCACTTGGTCTTCAGTTCCGATAGGAAATGAAGGAGCTCTCGAAGAGCAGAGAATAAGCAGAGTGGGTGTGCTGGTGATATTAGTTTGATTGCCCCCAAGGATGAAGAATGCTATTCCCACACTAAAAATGTCTGAGAAACATTTACCAGGGCAACTGAGACAGCAGCTGCAGTAAGTGAGGTTTTATTCAGATGGGACAATGACAAGTTTAAATCCCCACCTGATCTGTTGCTCAAAGTCATCTCCATTTCACCGGTCAGTTTCCCAAGTTTCAGGAAACTCATGTTGCTCCAGAAATATTTGGATTGACTGTGAGCGACGTCAATCAGAGTGCCCACCCACTCTGCCCATTCTCTCCTCTTCCTCTTCCAGAGCTGGTTCACTTTCTGTAGGGACTGAAAACCAAGTGAGGAGATGGTGAGTGAAGGAGCAGCTTTTATACAAATTGTATCCCATAATATCCACACCAATTTTCAGGCAGTCTGACTATCCTGTGGGCAATCAGGGGTGGAAATGTCCCTCATGCTGTGTGAGTAGATCCAGCTGAGAGAGCTGTTTGCTCAGTGCTTTGTGCTGAACTGTTTGACTGGAGCTGTGTGTTGGATATTGAGTGTGTTTATTGGAAGCATTTCCTTCCTGATTTTCAGGCTGAGTAATATTGATGGATCATTCCTGAATATGGGAATGTGAGATGTAATTACGTGGAAGGTACAGAGTGCCTGAGGATTCTTAGTGATTTCCTACTGTTGAGTTCTCTGTGTGTTGGGAGCTGGTTATTATCCTGGAGACTGGGAATGGCTATTCTTTGTGGGGATCTGTCTTCCTGTTTTCCTGTCTTTGCAAATCATTCCAAGACCTCTCACTGCCCTATCCCTAACCATTTCCAAAAAGACTTGCATCTTCATAGAATCTTTCAGGACCATCAGACTTCCAAAGTTTTTATTAAAGCTATTGGAGGTATTTTTTTGAAGTATGAAACATGGCAGTAACTTCACATCAAGCTCCCACAACAGCAAAGTCATGTTTCAGATGATCTCATTTTCTGGTGGCTATGTTTGAGGTATACATCAGAACATAGAACAATCCCACAGTTTGGCATTTGATTTGAATATGTGAGAATTTTCCAGATTAGCCACGAGCTACTCCTGGAATTCCTCTCTTCAGCCAGCTGTTTTCAGCCAAGACATTGATGCTGTTCCACTTGGATTCTGGATCTTGTGATGTTCCTGTGCCAGGAGGATGTTCATCACTGAGCGAACAAGTCAATAATCTGTCAAGCAACATCCGTTCCCCGATATGGATCGAGTGATACATACAGAACTTTGACTTGGCTTTAGACCTTTCAGAGGCATGTTTGTTATGGTTTTTGTGTCCAGAAAAATCCAAGCAAAATATTGAGAAGAAAACTGGGAATTCTTTGTTTCATTCATCGATGTTACCAAAGTATTTGACTCAGTAAATCACAAAGCATTGTGGATTCATAAATCATAGAATCTCTACAGTGTGGAAACAGGCCCTTCAGCCCAACAAATCAACACTGACCCTCAGAGCATCCCACCCAGACCCAGCCCCCTATAACCCACCTAATCTACACATCCCTGAATACTACAGGCAATTTACCACGGCCAATCCACCTAGCCTGCACATTCTTTGGACTGTGGGAGGAAACTGGAGTACCCAGAGGAAACCCATGCAGACACAGGGAGAACGTGCAAACTCTACACAGACAGTCACCCGAGGGTGGAACTGAACCTGGGTCCCGGGTGCTGTGATGCAGCAGTGCTAACCACTGAGCCACCATGCCGCCACAATTGTGCTCCAATTGTTTGGATGTCTGCTTCATCCCAATCCTGCAAATGTTTCAACGATTGCGTCTGCCTTGAGTGGCAGATCTGAAATAGAAACCTTCAAAATCTGGGCTGGTATCAAGCAAGATTGTGTGATAGCCCCCATTATATTTACAGTCTACCTTACAGTCAGGCTCGGAGTGTGTTTTAGTTGCATATTCATGTTACAGACATTGAAGATTCATTTCATGTTCTGGGAAAAATCTTAGGTCATTTAAAAAATGTTTTTGTTGTTTTGGTTCATTCAAAGTTTTCAGTGAACTCGATGGTTTTGCCTGTTGTGTTTTCAATCTTCCTTATGGCTTTATACCTCACAATAAATTTAACTTTTGTTTTACCCAAACAAAGTGATTTATCAGTATTATCTGTCTGTTATTTTTTACTTAAACACTCAGGGGTCATTCTAACAGTGGCCTAGTGAGCCTTTATTTCAGTGTTTCATCATTACCAATTTGTATGAAGTAAAATGTTTCTCTAAGCAAAAATACCTTCCATTTTAATTTCAACTTGCATGAAAAATGCAATCTGAAAGCAATTTACAGTTCATGAAGCACTCTTGTAAGAACACTAGCATTCAATTCACATCGTGCTATGACCTTGTTGGGACACTATTAACGCTTAGAGAGTAATCCAAACATTCCAGGATTAACTGATAGATTGACAGCATAACATTTCACATTTTTAAACAAAATCAAGCATTATTGTACAGGAAACAATAATGAGAGCAAACACTATTCACACTACATTTTATAACAACTTATGCTATGAACAGTTCTGCTTCTTACTCATCAGTTCCCGATGCAATATAAGAATCTTCAAAAGAATTCACTTGTATACAGCCCACCCCAAAAGTACACCACAACCCTCTAGCATTCACTTTAATTCTCCTCAGCATTCTAGGTACTATCGGGGTTAAGACTTTTCTGGGGATTCCTTCGTGACTGTTCTTGCTATGTGACTGCAACATTTTATTTAATATTTCAGGAGTGTGGATGCCTCAACTTCATGTTCAGGTTGTCTTTCCACAACTTTGAAGCTAAGTCTGCTCACTATTTTCTGCCACAAGGCTGTCTGAAAACCACTGGAGATTTCTTCCTCCATCTTAAAATGCGGCAAAGCCTCCAGTTCCTATTCCCTTCCATTAGCCCAACTGAGCTTCAACTTCACCCCAATTTCAAGTGTTTGCTCTGCTGAAGTTAAGGGTAGAGTTTTGGCTTGGGTAGAGGATTGGCTGACAGACAGAAAGCCGAATGTCTGGAGAAATGCGTTCTCCTCCAGATGGCAAACTGTAACCACTGGGTGCAGTAGGCTTCAGTTCTCAGACCTCAACTACTTACAATCTGTATAAATGATTTTCAAGCATGGACAGAGTATAACACAGCTAAATTTGTGATGATACTAAAAATAGGTGGGAAAGCAGGCTGTCATGAGTAAATAAAGAGTTTACACATGAATATTGACAGTCTATGAGAATGGGACAAATCTGACAGACGGAGTTTAATGTGGATAGTGCAAGGTTGACCACTTTAGCTGGTAAAATAAATAGGCATTTATTATTTAAATAGCAAGCGGATTCAAAGTGCACCAATGGAAAAAGACCTTGTGCATGAAACAAGAGGTCATAGACATAGAGTGAGAGGAGGTACAGTCAAAACTGAGATGAGGAGAATCCCTTAGGAAATAGGTTGTGAATCCCTCTGAAATAGGTAATTTAAATGGGTAATCACTGTCCCATAATGCAGTAGGGGCAGAATCATCAACAGATTCAAGGAATGTTTAGCACCATTTGCGATTCCTACCTAGGCTAGAATTGACGAGTGAGTAGGGGGAATACGAGTGGAACATGTTGTCCTGTGGAAGGAAGGATGGGTCATCTCCTCAAACATGACTGAATTGCAGCCCCAAGCCCAGAAAGCTCCCCCTTCACTGAGGTTGTTTAAAACCTCCACAGGGACTCAGCTCAATTCACCCCAAATCCCGCTCCGAACTACATTACCCATGCTACATGTGGGCACTGCGCCTGCACAGTGAGAGGCGATAGTGTGGATTCACGGAGGAGAAGCAGGCCGCGGTACCTGACGGGAGCTGTAGGTCTATTGCGCGCAGCAGCGGTTGCGCCTCGAGTTCGTGAATTCGATTGTGAGAGCGCGCGAGCCCGAGTGTCTGTCACGTGGACGGTGTTAGAAATTAGATGCGCCGCTGTGAATGGCAGCCCTTGGAGTCGGAGACTGGGATCGCATCCTCTTCCCCGCAATGCCCATCATCCTCCCGCTCTCTGACTGGTTCCCCGGATGGGGTCATTCACAATCACCCGCAGGAACTGGAGCTTCCGGCTCCGCTCCCATATTGGTTTCCGATTGGTAATGTCAAGTTTCGGGGGCGGGGCTTGCCTCCACGGCTTTGCCCGTTCTCAGAGCGTCCCCGGGTGTGGAGCAATGCGCTCTATATCAGGGGAAACGAGGAGGAGTAATTTAGACCTATATCCGCCTTCATCGAGACGGAGGAGCGGAGCCCAATATCAATTACCGAGGCGGTACTGGGAAATGGAATTTGCTGCGCGTCAGGGACAGGAAGCAGAGTTTGGAATGACTTCTTCCAGAAGGATCCCTGATCTCTCCAGAGACTAAACCCGCGTGATTTAGATTTTTTTCCTCAAATGGATACAGCCCACAGGCTGGAGTTTGGAAATCCCAGGAACAGAAACTGTTTCTTGTTGGGGTTCTTGTTCGTGGGTCTACTGGTGAAAATGGATCACAGGAGCCACATCACAAAAACGGATCATCTGGTCATAATCACACTGCAGCTGTGGGCTCTTGCTGTGCACAAGTTGGTGGCCCTGATCCTACATTACAACATTGACCACACCTCAAAATGCATTGTCAAAGTTGATACATTGTAACAAATCTTCTTTTCTTAGGAAAGCGTTGTGCTTCCAGTGAACTAGAAGTGAGAAATCTATCCATGGACAATCCAGGTGGTGAAGTAGCACAGTAGGTAGTATGCCTGCCTCAAAGTCAGAATCTCTGGGTTCGCTTCCCAAACCAGGAATTGAAGGCAATCTCTGTAAAAGTGGTAAAAAAAAAAGTTGATTATCCATCTCTAAATCCTCCTGATATTCCAATTGTATGTGCTAAGAGTGGGAGAATCTCCTGGTCAGCAATGCTTGATGCAGAGTAGTGCTCTCAAGCTGTATCCTCTGGTGAGACTAGTAACCTGTTCCAGGAATCTCAGCCATGGAAACAGACATCAGTACATGCTCTGTCTGCTTCATATATCACAAGGTGTGGGAAAGAAAATAAAGCAGGTGGAGAAAGTAGACCATCCCATAGTGACTTTGGCCTGTATATTGTGTACAGGGCTTATGGTTCCCTTAGTGTTTCAGTTTAAAGGGGTACATGCCATGCTGACAAAGACGAGTAGCTTGGTTTAAGCTAAACAGTGAATTTATTGTGAGTTATATATCTCTACAAATCTCAAAATTGATAAAATGGAGAAACAACACAATATTCAGCTTACACCAAACTTCAACTCAACCTAAATGACAAAACATTTGAAGATTCTTCATAGAATATGAAATTAATCTTGGATGAGCCTAAAGTAAACATATCACACTGTATTACATTGGGGCTGAGGGAGGTCAGGTCTGTAGAGACTCACCCCCACTCCCTTCCCATACTTGCTAGTCCTTTTAGAGCTGTTATGGGTCTTTATTTACCTGGATGAGTAAAGTTTAAAAAAAAGTGTCAAAGTCTCTCTTCCTCAAACTACTCCTCTGTTTTGTGATTAAACTGATACAATGCTCCCTGTCCAACATCCGCCTGCCACTCTACCAGCAAGTGGGGTCTACTACAGGAATAACTGGGAAATTATCAGAGATTCAAAAAGAGGGAAGAAGGGCAGTCTCACACAACATTAATTAATTAGAAATCAGCCAGTTTTAAAAGTTCCGACATCACTCTCCTCAGAACCCAGTCACTCAATAGGTCACTTCTTCTCAGCAATTGCACTTGCTGCTTGAACAATAGCTCTAAATTTATAGATGATACAAAGTTGGTGGGAGGATTTACTGTGAAGCAGATGTGGAAATGTGTCAGTCTGATTTGGACATGTTCGGTGAGTGGGCAAATAAAATATAGTGTGAATAAATGTGAGGTAATCTACTTTGGTAGCATAAACAGGAAGGGAAATTATTACTGAATGGTCATTGACTTGTGGGGGGGGTGGTGGGGGGGGTGGTTGGGGGGGGGGGGGAGGTGGATTTCACAGAAACCTATAGAATTCTAACAGGATTAGACTGCTAAATGCAGGAAGATATTTCTGATGACCAGGGAGTACAGAACTGGGATTCATTGTTTAGGGATATAGGGCAGGCTTTTTAGGATTGAGATGAGGACAAACTTCTTCAGCCAGTGTGGTGAACATGTGGAAGTTTCTGCCATAGGAAGCAATTATGGTGTGAACATTGAATGTTTTCAAGAAGGAGTTGGACATAGTTCTTAGGGCTGAAAGAATCAAAAAGTATGTGGAGAAAGCAGGAATAGGATACAAGTTCAATGATCAGCTATAATCATATTGAATGGCAGAATAGGGTCGAATGGCCTATCTCCATTAGTATTGTCTTTGCTTCTATAATTGACCCTTGAGAGAAAAGTTTGTCTTCTTTGCTGTTGTTGTTCCTTTCATTAAGGATATCGCTCTACCTTTCGGTTCTTCTTAGGCAGTGCCTCAGAATCGACGATGACTTATTTCCACTCTGGTTTGATAGGTTCTGAGAAATCTGATAAATCCAATGAACAATGTGCAAATTCTGCCACTTGTGGGAGAACGCCTGCATAAAATAAAAGGCAAAACGGTGAAAAAAGGCAGAACAGAAGGCCAGTCGCAGCATCTGTTGAGATAGAAACAAAAGTGAAAATTGAAAGTGGCTGCAGAAAGGCTTACTGATAGCGGTTAAGTAATGAAGTTCCCACATGCCTTTCCGGCCCAGGCACTGAGTGTACACATGCTCCTCAGACTGCTGTAACACAACCTCTGCGTGCAGCCCGTGCTGTTGGTCAGGCCAGCTTCACCCCGCCCCGTTCAATGCCTGGAACCTCACCACGCATGCTCTGCTCTGACGGGTGGAACAACGCCGCTCCTGCGCACGACTCAACTTCTGATGGTAATAGACCGTATTGAGTTTCGCGGTGAATGCTGGCTAGGACTGTTGCCATTAATCATTTTGAATATAATGTAGAAACCTGCGAATTCGTGGCTTGCCTTCCAAATCAAGTAGTTATTGCTTCATCATCAAAAACTGTACACTGACAACAAACTACAGAGTGTGCTGGCGATTCCTGATTGGAAGTTGGAATATTGCATGGCATAACTTCCTGCCTGATTAATGCATTTGTGAACTACCTTGGAGTATGTCGTTGCATTAAGAGCTATGTAATTGGTCACTCCTAGGAGCCAAGACAGTGATCAACCATGTTCTTGTGAAATGGTAGAACAGGTCTTCCTCTGATTGTCACACAGGTAGATTGGACACACAAGACTCATATGGGAGTAAGATTGTAGAGAGTAGAAATTAAGACATCAAGAGTCAGAAACATCTGGGGAGGAGGGGACAATAATCAATAAATGTAAAATTCAACCAACAAAGAGTCAGTACCCTCAGTTTGCATTTATGTTTACTGGAGGCTGCATATATCTTCATATGTGAAAACCTCCTTTGCAGAAAAAAAAAGAAACTTGTTCAGACATTGCACCTCTTCAATAGAACTAAAACTTTGGGGTCACTTACCCAGTTGTACTGTTCCAGAACATGAGAAAATAGTCACATTGGTGGTAAAGAATGGTCCCTAGTGCCACTGACAAGCTGAATGGCTGCTCTTTAGAACTGAAGATAAATGGAAAAGTCACACCTTTTGCATTGTTGAAAAGGGGTGGACAATTGGGACAGAAGGGCTACGGGAGATTTCATGTCAAAACAAAATACAAAAAGGGTGGTAACTGTTGTAGAGAAAAGGCATATACCAAGTGTAGGTACTAATGACAGAATAAAAATAAGCTCTGACTGAAAGCAAAACCATGAGAAAGTATACGTATATTCAGTGAGTGATGGTGAAGGGAAAAATATCAAAATGGAAGACAGAATCATACTTTGAAGTTGCTGAGTTCAATGCTGAGCTAATGTTCATACTGCAAAGCATCTCTGGACGAAATGAAATGCTGTTTCTCCAACTTGCATGCTTCTTCACTGGTAAACTGCAGTGGCCTAGTACTGGAATGTGAACATGTGAGTAGGATGGTGTATTGAAAGCTATCTCCCTGTCTATGTTTGGTCTCCCCTGTATAAAGGAGACAGGATTGTGGGCGGTGAATACAACAGACAAGAGTGAAAGTTATACACTTCACTGCTTCACTTGGACAGTAAGTAGAGAGGAGGTAAAAAGGTAAGTTCTATATGTAGGAGTTTGTTGACAAATTGGGGATGACAGAGCAAAGGGCCAGAGTGTTTTGAAAGGAATAGTCCATTTGTAATGATGACAGGGGAGGCAAGATGTATTTGGTGGTCATGTGCTGGTGGAGGTGTTTGGTGGTGAAGGATCATTCTGTAAATGCAATGGCTAGTGTAATGGATAGTGAGGACAAGGGGAATCTCCAGTAGGTCTGAGAGGAATCTTTCCACATAAAGAGTAACAAACAGATCTTTTTCTGAGTGGCAAGCAGTGACTAGTTGGGTACCATGGTGATCATCAGTGGTTGGATAAAAGATCTGTTTGTTACTCTTTATTTCCTGTCTGCCAGCCAGTTCCATTTCAAAATCAGTACACTGTCCCAGATCCCAAGTGCTTTCATTTTACGTACTGTGTTCTGATATGTGTCTTTATTGAAAAATTTCTGAAAGTCCAAGCAAACCACATCCATTGGCTCCCCTGATCAACTCTACTAGTTTCAGTCTTAAAAAAAATTCCAGGAGATTTGTCAAACACAATTTCTCTTTGTAAATTCATGCTGACTCTGTCAAATCCTGTCATTATTTACAAGTGTTTTGCAATTAAATATTTTATGATTGACTCCAGTATTTTTCTCACTGCTGACATAAGGTCATGTCACCAGGAGATAGTCTGGTAATTCTTGTTTTCCTTCTTCTATAGTCAAAATGTCTTTCATCAGATAAGGAGACCAAAACTGCACTTAACAGTCCCGCAAGACATCCCTTCCCCATTAGTCAAATGGTCTTGCAATGCAGTCCAACATTTCACCTGCTGTCTTCAGTTCCTACTGTACCTGCGTGCTTACTTTCAGTGACTGGTGTACAAGGACACCTAGGACGTGTTCATCTTCTCAGATCGCCATTAAAGTAATAATCTGCCTTTGTATTTATGTTATCAAAGCGAATGACCTCACATTTATCCACATTACACTTCATCTGCTATGCCTGTGCTCATTCACACTACTTGATCAAATCACACTGAAGCATCTCTGCATCTGCTCACAGTTCACCCTCCCACCCAGCTTTGGGTCACCTGCAAATTTGGAGATATTACATTTAATTTCCTCATCTAAATCATTAAACTGTATTATGAAAACAGACTGGATCATTTTGGACTATATCCGCTGGAGTTTGGAAGAATGAGGGAGGGTCTCATAACTCTAAAATTCCATAAAACTATAACATTCTAACAGGACTAGAAGGGGCAAAAATAGGAAGGATGCTCCAACAATGGGGGAGTTGAGAGTTCACAGTCTTAGGATACAGGATATGTTCTTTAGGACTGAGATGAGGAGACATTTCTTCACCAAAGGAGTAGTAAGTATCTGGAATTCTCTGGCACAGGAACAGGTTGAAGCTAAAATAGTAAATGTTTTCAAAAAGGAGTTAATTTTGTTCTTTGGGTTAAAGAGATCAAAGGATATTGGGAAAAAGCAAGAAAGGGAAACTGAGTTAATGATTAGCCAATGATCATATTAAATTTCAGATTTGACCCTCAGTCCGAGAATTTTAAAACAGTCACATTTTTTACACCTTCTTGAGTAGCTCTAGTTTGAAGGATAATAACATGTCACACCAAACTGGAAGAGCTTATGCATGGTGAGAGAATAGGACACAACAGTAGGAATCCAGGCAAGTTGCCTGTTTCCTAAGTATTAGTTAATGTTATGGGAAAGCAAGAGGGAGCTGAATGGGCACTGCCCAGATTGTTTGATCAGTTCAAACAGTAAGTTTCTCCACTGCCAGAGTATGTGACAAGAATCATTTCTTGGCCAAACTTTGCTCCACCCCAGCTCAGACTTGAACCCACAATCCCTGGTTTAGGAAGTTGGTGCCTTATCTGCTAAGCCACTGGGGCCAGTGAAGATGTTGAGGAAGGGTGATGGCGTGCTTGGTGAGTGTAACTTGACCCTTTCTCTTGATATAATCGCTGTGAAATTTGATGCCTTTTTGAAGGCCAACCCTTTCTACTAAAATACAACTCGATTGGATCAATTCCAGGAATGAGTTGACAGGATTGGAATATGCTTTTTGTGTGTCAGCGATTAATACTGCAAAGGATCATTTGTATGAGGAACAATTGTCTTTCTAGAAGTTTCCTTGCTTGTCTTGATTCAGTTTCAGTGATTTCCCCGACACATATTCCTGGTCATTTCACTGACCTTACTGTCTCATCTCATCAATCACAGAGAAAGCTAACTCTGATCACTTCCATTGATTACTCAGCACCCATGTTCCTCTTTGACATTCCAGGTCCACCATTTTGTATGTTCCTCTCTGGAAATAACTATTACCTAAATCACTCTCAGAATCCCAACTGTCTCAGTCTTTGATCCTCCATTCAGCATGACATTTGTGTAGAGATTGATTTACTGAACCCCTCCCTCACCCCCACAAGTGATCACCCTGTCCCCAGTAAAACCACTCCCTCTCTTAACTTGCCCATTTCCCTCGACATTGACGCCCTTAACAAAGATGGACACAGACTTGAAACACTATGGTGAACACTGGCTTAACATCCGCTGCCAGATCTGCCTGGATCACATAACGTGTTGACAGGACACTTCTGTTCTGGTCTGTTCAAACTGTCCTTCATTACAGGATAATCTTGGAACGCAAAGATAACCCTGGCTTCTTACCTCAACTCTAACTGGTTTCTCAAAGTCTCTTGCCATCTGCCTCGTCCTCATTGCTGTAAACCATCTTCTTAAACTTTCTGTATGGTCTGCTCCTCCCTCTCGCCTAGTGATAAGTGTGACTATTTCATGAATTTCTTTGACACTGGACTTGTTGCTGGAGCTGGTTCTATCCAGACAATTGCAGAATATTCTATCACTCCTGTGCTTTGCAGATGTTGGACAGGATTTGTGGAGTCAGTAGGTCAGTTATTTGCCACAGAATTCTCAGCCACACTCACTACAAACTGTTCTTGAGGGTAGAGTATTTATATGGCTCGTCTAGTACAGTTTCTCGTCAATGGCAATCCCCAGAATGTTGATAGCAGGGAATTCAGATGACAATGCCATGGAATTCAAACAGCGATGGCTAGAATGTCTCCTGGGAGATATTCATTGCCTTGTACATACGTGCTCAGTAAGATTCATGCAACATAATCGGCCCAAGCCTGGATAGTCATCCAGGTTTTGGTGAATTTGGACATGGATTGCTTCAGTATCTGAGGATCACAAATGGTGTAGAATATTGTAGAAACATTGGTGTACAGCCCACTTCTGACCTTATGCTGGAGGAAAGTCATCAATGAAGCAATTGAAGATGATTGCACCAAGGACACTTCCTCAGAAACTCCTGCAGAAATGTCCTAGAACTGAGATGACTGACGTCCAACAATCACAACCATCTTCTCTTGTGCCAGGTATGACTGTGATCAGTGGAGAGATTTCCCCTGATTCCCACTTACTTCAGTTTTGTTTGGGATGCTCCATTCCCGCATTTTGTCAGATGCTACCTTGATACTGAAGGCAGTCACTCTGACCTCCCATCCAGAGTTCAGTTCTTTTGGCTATCTGGTTTTAATGAGGTCAGGAGCTGAGTAAACCTGGCAAAACCTAAACAGAGCGTAAGTGAACAGGTTGTTGCTATGTTAGTGCCACATGATAACAATGTGAATAACTCCTTCCAAGTA